CTGCAGATGCTGCATTTAATCGGTCCTGAAGATGTTGCATTTAATCAACCCTGCAGATGCTGCATTTAATCAACCCTGTAGATGATGCTTTTAATCAGTCCTGCAGATGCTTCATTTAGTCAGTCCTGCAGATGCTGTAATTAATCAGTCCTGCAGATGCTGAATTTAGTCAGCCCTGCAGATGCCGCATTTAATCAGCCCTGCAGATGCCGCATTTAATCACCTGCAGATGCTGTATTTAATCGGTCCTGCATTTAATTGGTCCTGCAGATGCTGCATTTAATCAGTCCTGCATTTAGTCAATTCTGCAGATGCTTCATGTAGTCAGTCCTGCAGATGCTGTATTTAATCAGTTCTGCAGATGCTGAATTTAGTCGGCCCTGCAGATGCTTCATTTAATCACCTGCAGATGCTGTATTTAATCAGCCCTGCAGATGCTGCATTTAGTCGGTCCTGCAGATGCTGCATTTAAATAGTCCTGCAGATGCTGCATTTAGTCGATCCTGCAGATGCTGCATTTAGTCAGTCCTGCAGATGCTGCATTTAGTCGGCCCTGCAGATGCTGCATTTAGTCGGCCCTGCAGATGCTGCATTTAGTGGGCCCTGCGGATGCTGCATAGTGTCATCCCCTTGATAGGTTAATTAAATAAATGCTTGTGGTCTGGGCATTGTAAGTTTGTTTAGGGATGGGTTGGGTGACATGCAGTGGCGTTTAATACTGTTGGGTATCCATTTAGAAGTCGAGTTGTCTTGAGGGTTTCAGTTTTCGCTGAAAGCGTATCTTCGGTGCAAATCTTTCTGGCACTGTTAATCTTTTTTTATTTTGTTGCTAGGCCATGTTTGTAGAGAATGGGTACAAAACTATGAAACTTTAGATACAGCCAGTCTATTTTTCTATTTGTACTTTGTGTAAATATTTTCATTAAAAATACAGATGGTCTTTCACATCAGGGAGCTGCCCTGGTGTAACGGCTAGATGCTCAACCCGTGCTCGATGGTTGTGGCTTCAAAGCTGCATTTAGCAGATTTTTTCTACAATTGACCTTGGCTACAAGGTCTATATAGCCTATACAGTCTTGGGAAGTAAAGGCGGTCGGCGTGATGTTGACCACATCACCCACCAAGTACTGATTGGACAGGTCTAACACTGTGTGCCTGAAGGGGTGAAAAAGGGCCCTTTGCTCTACTTTATGGGAAACCCAGCTAGAAATATTGAGAAATGTTCAGCGAAGTAAAGGTGGTCTGCTACCTGTAGGATTTTTCAAAATACTGTTCATTATAAATGCATATGCCCCTGAGGGGTTCAAGGTCCCTATTTTGGCGGAATCAAATATTCCCCACTGCCCCCTTCCCCCAACTCCAAAAAACGTAATGTAAAAGGCAGCTAGCTATTCAGGGGTGCTTCCTTCACAATTGCAGTCCATCTGCCTGAGAGACAAGGAACCAACAGTCCATCTGCCTGAGAGACAAGGAACCAACAGTCCATCTGCCTGAGAGACAAGGAACCAACAGTCCATCTGCCTGAGAGACAAGGAACCAACAGTTCATCTGCCTGAGAGACAAGGAACCAACAGTCCATCTGCCTGAGAGACAAGGAACCAACAGTTCATCTGCCTGAGAGACAAGGAACCAACAGTTCATCTGCCTGAGAGACAAGGAACTAACAGTCCATCTGCCTGAGAGGCAAGGAACCAACAGTTCATCTGCCTGAGAGACAAGGAACCAACAGTTCATCTGCCTGAGAGACAAGGAACCAACAGTCCATCTGAATGAGAGACAAGGAACCAACAGTCCATCTGAATGAGAGACAAGGAACCAACAGTCCATCTGCCTGAGAGACAAGGAACCAACAGTCCATCTGCCTGAGAGACAAGGAACCAACAGTCCATCTGCCTGAGAGACAAGGAACCAACAGTCCATCTGCCTGAGAGACAAGGAACCAACAGTCCATCTGCCTGAGAGACAAGGAACCAACAGTTCATCTGCCTGAGAGGCAAGGAACCAACAGTCCATCTGCCTGAGAGACAAGAAACCAGCAGTCCATCTGCCTGAGAGACAAGGAACCAACAGTCCATCTGCCTGAGAGGCAAGGAACTAACAGTCCATCTGCCTGAGAGACAAGGAACCAACAGTCCATCTGCCTGAGAGACAAGGAACCAACAGTCCATCTGCCTGAGAGACAAGGAACTAACAGTCCATCTGCCTGAGAGACAAGGAACCAACAGTCCATCTGCCTGAGAGGCAAGGAACTAACAGTCCATCTGCCTGAGAGACAAGGAACCAACAGTCCATCTGAATGAGAGACAAGGAACCAACAGTCCATCTGAATGAGAGACAAGGAACTAACAGTCCATCTGAATGAGAGACAAGGAACCAACAGTCCATCTGAATGAGAGACAAGGAACCAACAGTCCATCTGAATGAGAGACAAGGAACTAACAGTCCATCTGAATGAGAGACAAGGAACCAACAGTCCATCTGAATGAGAGACAAGGAACCAACAGTCCATCTGAATGAGAGACAAGGAACCAACAGTCCATCTGAATGAGAGACAAGGAACCAACAGTCCATCTGAATGAGAGACAAGGAACTAACAGTCCATCTGCCTGAGAGACAAGGAACCAACAGTCCATCTGAATGAGAGACAAGGAACCAACAGTCCATCTGAATGAGAGACAAGGAACTAACAGTCCATCTGCCTGAGAGGCAAGGAACCAACAGTCCATCTGAATGAGAGCAAGGAACCAACAGTCCATCTGAATGAGAGACAAGGAACCAACAGTCCATCTGCCTGAGAGGCAAGGAACCAACAGTCCATCTGAATGAGAGACAAGGAACTAACAGTCCATCTGCCTGAGAGACAAGGAACCAACAGTCCATCTGCCTGAGAGGCAAGGAACCAACAATCCATCTGAATGAGAGACAAGGAACCAACAGTCCATCTGCCTGAGAGACAAGGAACTAACAGTCTGCTAACAAATAACATAGATCTGTAAAACAGATGTGTACACGCAAAACTGAAGTTCTAGAACAAGACCAAAGTCCAGAAGTGGACAAACAACTAGAACTTCTTGCTGGAGTTCACAGACGGTGAGGGCTCAGAAGAAGGGGATTATGACATACACAATGATAACACAACTTCATTTTAAAATAAACAGCATGTTTTAATAGCTTTTCAACATACTTGTAAAATTAACATCATGTTTTAAAAGCTTTTCAACATACTTGTAAAATAAACAGCATACTTTATTAGCTGCTGAATGTAATTTTAAAATAACAGCATAGGCTAAAAACTTTACAACATGCTTTTAGCAACTACCCAACAAAAACACACCTGTGTTTCAACTCTTTTTACTACCAAACAATCGCTCTACATTTACTGATTACTTAATATATGGTTTACATTTCTCTACTTATTCTGTCAAATTCTTCTGCAAAAATGATCCAATTTATTCCAAATACTACTTTAACCCCTTATGTCCCCTAAAGGACTGCAGGTTACACCTGGCTGCTGTAGCCGTTATGGGGGCCCTAATTATAACTTGTTTAGAGGTGGAACGGTGTATTTCTGGGATCTACGTTTTTGGTCTGTCATCCAGACTGAGATTTATTAATCTACGGTTGGTACGGCAAACCTTTAGGTAGCAGCTCAGAGGAGACAAACTGTACTGATCGACTGAACCCACAGATATCTCCTGAAGACTCAAAGTTTATTTCTGTAAAGTGCCCAACATTTAGGGTAAAAGTAACGTTGACCTCCCCAAGCCCTGCCCATATACACACTACGTCACTTCTGATTGGTAGTTCCTGAACCTGTAACCTTGCCACAAGGTTATGGGGGTGTTCCGTGATGCCGCTGACATCGTGTGTTGTATATTTGAGCACGCCAGTGCTTTTAACGCTCCAAAAACATGGGTAACTGGCCCTAACACAACCCTTCTAGAGAGTGCTGCAACAGGCATTCTCTTTCTTGGAATGAAAATGTAAATGCAAAACACCACAGAAAGCAAACAATAGAGCGGGACACACCTGTAACCTTCAGAAAAGTCAATCAGCCCAAGAAACTCGTGAATGAAAAGTGACCTACTTTCTTTGGGGAGATTTGCATAAACCTAACCAATTTAGGATAAGACTGTACTGAAGTGACTACCCGACTGCTACTGACAGAATGAGAGTCATAAAGGAAGAAAATTTTTATACTGTGGACTACTATACAGGTCATAAAATAAATTGATAAAGAAGTGTTTATTTTATCTGGAACATGAGAAGAAGTGGACAGAGAATCCCTAAACAGGCACTGAAATGGAAAACGAATGGACTGAGAAAAACAACAGGTCCACGAGAAGTCCCTAAGACAAACACTGCTGAGAGAAGCCAAAGGTGCTGGACTGAATACAATACATGGTATTTAAAAGGTTGCACAGAATATTTTTGTGTGGGTTCTGGGGCCCCACTTTGGTGGAAAAAAACAATAACTGACCTACTGCCCATCCCCCTCCCCCCAACAAGCAAGTCGGAAAAAGTGACTAATTAGGGGTGTTTCCTTCAAACGAGGCCAGAAGGTTAATGAGTTAAGACTATTACAGCTGAAAGTGTTTATGTAACAATATGCACAGTATAATACTTGAGACAGAAAAAGTCATGGAATGTGTAACTAGATACCAGTTAACATACAGTGTGTTGACTAGTACGCTAGTCGTTGTTTGCGCTCACTGGCTGTAAACCCCGGCGAAAAGACCTGGTTGTTCGTCCATTTCTGGAGTTTGGCTTTGTTCCAGGATCTGAGTGCATCCATTTTACAGATCTTGCCTATGTGTATGCAGACTGTTGGTTCCTTGGCTCTCAGGCAGATGCACTCCAACTTTGAAGGAAACCCCCAATTAGTCGACTCTGACGACATGCTTGTTTAGTAAGCAGTGGGTCAGTTCTTGTTTTTCCCCACAATGGGACCCCGTAATCCACAGGGGGATGTTGACTAGTCCTAAAAGATTCAGTCTAGTTCAGGAACGTCTATGAACTGAGAATACCTGTATCTTCTTCTGAGAATCAACAAATATTTCGTCTACATTAAAATCAACCTTCAGCAGGTCTAAAAATTTCAAATCCCTGTCATATCTGATTCTGCACGACAGCAGAATGTGAACACTATTATCATGAGCTAATGACTTCACAGTCCTTGATAAATCCTCAAATGTGTCCTCTATGTAGATAATATCTGACCCCAAAACCACGTCAAAACCTGAGAATCCTTGTGGATCTACTGACTTGGTCCAGTCTAGGACTTTCGCTGAAATCTTCCATGGTCTGTTCTGAGTGTTTTGTCGAATGGAGGAGTTAAGGTGAGCTAAGGCTTCAGCTCTCTCTGTCAGTGTTACATCAGCTCCTGAAGTAAATAAGCAGGAAATAATAAGTCACATTTGCTGACATGATTCAGACAAGCTTAACTGAGCGCATTTCCACACATATACGTACATGGTATTTTTTTTTTATGTATAAGATGTGCTTCAGAGGTCTCAGGTAGGTAGCATCCTTTGGATGTTTTCTCCAGGTCATCCTGGTGTGCTGGCAAATGAGCAGCCAGACAGACGGTTCTGCACAACCTGGTGGTGAACTGATGTATGACAAGCTGGATGTTGTGAGGGCCCTTTGGGAGCGAGTGAACAGTGTGGAGGCACAAATGGATCACTACAGCCTGACGAGAATGGGTCTATTCTTCTTCCCTCCATAATGGGACCCCAGACCCAGACAGTAGTTAGGTACCTAATGAGTTAATGATCAAAGTGCAGTCCCAAACAATGTGTGCTGCGTAATTATCACTGCTGTGAATCCCACTCAACATGTAATATGTTCTATATGGTCATAGTTGGTCATAGTAGTTTAAGAAATCTGGCGTCCCCACTATTATTTTATTAAGCGTCTTTGTAAACAACACCCTGGTGGTTTGTCTTATTGGTTATTTATACAATTAGGAATCTCCACCAAAACCTTCTGTTAAATTATGAAGATTAGCATCCATGACATTACTATGATAACAAAATATATAATATAATCTGTAACAATATTAGAATCACACAGAATCAAATTTCTTTTTTAAACCAAATGATCTTGACTTCAGGGTCAACCTATCCTAAACTGAGTAATGCCCTGAGAAGTACAGGCAGCTGGCACGATGTTGGTGGTATTACCCATCAAGTGCTAATTGATCTATACAAATATGGATATAGCTATAAATGCTCATGTGCCAACAGCGGGGAATGGATCTGTAACCTTTTTCTTGTTTTTGTTGTTTTTTAAAACTTTGAGTTGAGCTGAGTCAAGAATAGACATCACAGCACTTAAGGCATTTCCATGTCTGCTCCGTCCTCATCTTCAGCAGCCAGCGCAGAGTCCCAGTACTGATGGTACCGGTCACAAACTGGTTATATGTCCATCTTGCCTTTCCTCTGAGCGTAGTGAACCGGCCAGACCCTCTGGTTACAGCCAGGTACCTCATTCTCTCCAGGCCATAATACTCTTGTTTCTCGAATGATTCCGTGCTTGTTCCCAAAGGGCTTTTAAAACTTTGTAACACGATATATCATACAATCTTACCCACCCAGAGCCGCTGCCACAAGTCCTGTTAAACCAGTGCCAGCTCCTAGTTCAAGTACTTTCTTATCTTGCACCAAATGTTTGTGGTTTTCTAAGTACTCAGCTAGCACAATTGCCTGTAGAAAATAAGCATATATAGAACTAGATCTACATACATATAATCATCATATATCAGGTTCTTTGCAGAACGTCGCTCTCATCACGGCCTGCCTGAAAGAAACTCGGTCTCCCATCAGGTCTCCCACCTCATGTACTTTCATACTCAAGAAGTCACTTATATCCTGTGCCCATCTTCATGTTGGTCAGCCCCTGCCCCACCTTCCTGGTACCATGCCTTTTGCTATAATTTTTTTCCAATTTGTCGTTGCACTCAATATAACCAAAATATTTCAGCTCCCAAGACAGGATGCTGTTTATTAGCCAGTCTTCCTTGATTTCAGATCTTCCAAGATGTCAGTATTTATCCTCTTTTTCATCCAAGATATTCTGAGAATCTTTCTATAGCCTTTCAGCTCAAAAGCCCCTATTCTCTTTCTTAAGGACTGGAGATAGTCCACGACTCACATCCGTATGTAGCCACAGGGAAGATGCATGCTCTCAAAATTCTAATTTTGAAATCCTTGCTGGTGCTTTACCATATACTTTTTAGGCTGTTTAATCTTATATATATATATATATATATATATATATATATATATATATATATATATATATATATATATATATATATATATATATATATATATATATATATATATATATATATATATATATATATATATATATATATATATATATATACATAAATGAGGGGTGGGGAGACAGACAGACAAAGAAATAAACACAAACATATACAAAGAGAAACTACAGAATGTTTAGAACCTTTATGAACTAAAACAAATTAACCAACAAAAGCCAGAGATGAAAATGCTAGAGCATATACGTTTTCTGTGGCAATGTGCAAGTGAGAAACTTGGAAGTTTCACGAATCAGCTGAAAAGCATGTATGCACCTTTACACAAATGTTACAGATAAGTACTAACAAAAAAAAACTGTTTTTTTTGGGGGGGTACAAATAGATCTATAGAAATAGGTCATGATCGCATTAGGATTCCTGTAAAAAATCTATAACAACAACATTTTTTACACAGGACACTAATAAATTTGTTGTAAAATTCATTTATCAATATTTTAAAATTATTTCTGAATTATATAAAGATAAATGAAAGGTGTAATCATAAACACAAATGGGATGAAGCATTCAATAGAATTCATCCCCTGGGGCCTAAAAAACTCAAATATTGGGTGACTCTTGCCATGACCCCGTGACCTTTAGCACTGAGGTGTTTGAGAAAATCTGACATCATCTTGGCTTTAAAAAGCCCCTTAAAGCAAATATGATCTTCTTTATTCACCGGCTGTAAGCTTCGGCGGATAGTCCTGGCTGTTCGCCCAACTGGACTGACTTTGTAACAGGACATGAGTTTTGTGTGTACATCCGTTTACTGGCTTATTTATGTGCAGCTGGTTGTTCTTTGCTGCTCAGGCAGATGCACTTTGACTTTGAATGAAGTTCCCAGTTAGTCGACTCCTATGACATGCTTGTTGGGGAGGCAGTGGGTCGATTCTTGTTTTCTCCCCACAACGAGGCCCCAGAACCCACATGGGGAGACAAGCATACAGAGTCCAGGTTTTGCTGCCATAAAGGAACGTACGTTCTCAGGACCCAAGCTTCATAAACTCTGATACTGATCAATTGCACATACACTTAAAGGTCACTTTTCCACGCCTTTAGGCGTATAGGGCATATAGGGCTAAACCAATATTTTTATAGACCAATCAGCACAAGATGGGTGATGTGGTCAGCATCACGCCGGACACCTGTACTTTCCAGGACTGCACCCAGTACCCACTCAAGGCTGGGTCGACCTGGGAGTCAAGGTCATTTTTGAAAAAAAAGTCTGGCTCCGACGCATATACTTACAGAATCCCAAACCATTGCTGACACACCAAGTCCTGTATAGTCCTGCTGTATGGTGAAATTGTGACCAGCAATATGGAAATGGCGAACAGATTTCTCATGGAGTGGAATGTTGGTTTCATCATACGGAACAACTGCTAAAGATGTCATTTTGCTGAGCTCATTCAAATTCCTATTTGTTGTATACTTATCTGTAATAGCCGGGCTGTTTGTTTCTGGACATGTGTAAAGCTCTAAGAATAAAAAAAAAATTTAGTTCAAGATGTAAGAACAACCTAACTGAACAAACCTAGCAGGTGCACTGATAAATAAAATGGGTGTGAAGCAGAGGGGGTAAAGAAAGGGGGTCTCAAAGGGCTTAATTCTAGTTTAACAGAATAATAATAACAATGTGCTCAATGGTTAGTTTGAAAAAAAAAATACCTTTGAAACGAGCAGGCAGATAGACTGGCCGGTTCTGCACCACTTGGTGGTGAACTGATGTATGACAAGATGGATAATGTTAGGGTCGTTTAGAGGCGGCGAACAGTGTGAAGGCACAAATAGATCTTTAGGGTCTAAACAGAATGACGCTGCTGGGAGTTACCAAGGGATCTAGCTGATTATCCCCACTCCAGGGAAGAGCGAGGGGGATGTACAATCGGACCAGTTACTGGTGCCATTGGAAGAGGAATTCTTTGCTTGCTGCTGCAGGTGGGGATCAAGCGTTTATCAGAGTGTCCCGAGTGATGCAGTGCAAATTCCTTTTTCAACATTCAACACTTGAAATAATATGAAATGTATAAACAAATATTTTCACAGAGAATTTCTGAATTATACATGGCTTAAGAGGCTTGCTTAGATTTATTCTCTAAAATCTGGGGAGGAGAGGGTGTGCTCCAGTGGCTGAGCTCCCAGGTTTCCTGCACCCCTGACACCCACCAACACTGGATACCAGGTTATTTCATAACTGCCAGGCATCCCCAAATATAACTGTCATCGGTTGTCGAGGATTTCTGGGATTTGTTGGGTCCTATCCTGATAGGGGGGCTTATAGAGTAACTATAGCATATAGTGTGTTTAGGGTGTTAGAGTTTTAGAATGCCGCCCTGGATAGAAAACAATTTTTGTAACCCTTAAAAAAAAAACTAGCCATCCTTATAGGGAGCTTTTAGAGTAACTGGGTGTTAGAGTTTCAGTATGCAGCCTTGGATAGAAAACAATTTTTGTAACCCTTAAAAAAAATTTAAAAAAAAACTAGCCATTCTTATAGGGAGCTTTTAGAGTAACTGGGTGTTAGAGTTTCAGTATGCAACCCTGGAGAAACAAAAATATTTAGTTGTGCATCCTTTACAGAACGTTGCAGAACCAACCCCAGCATTTGTTGGCAAACAATGGCAAACTACTGAACTTAAAATTTGTCTAGAAAAATGACAACAGCCCAAAAATGCGAGGGGTTGATTCTGCAACGTCCTATAAAGGATACGCAACTAAAGTTTTGGGTGACTTCAAAGAGCAACGTCATGTTCATTAGTTTGTCACTGCTTCCTGAACAGTCCGCTCTCAATACCATCGTTGGAGCCAACACAAGACGGTCTGCTGCCAAATCGTTCGCAGCTGGGATTGAACCTGGCACCATGGAATTATGAAGCGCATTTGCAATGCTTAAGCCACAAAAGCCGACACAGCCAATTAGAAGGAAGAAACTCATAAAATAATATGATTTTTTTTAAACACATCATATGATAAACAAATACTATATGATTAAAAACTCATATGAATTTGAAGAAAAAAATTGTTGTATCTTTTATAAAACATTGCAGAACCAACCTTAGGGATTTTTGTGGGTTTTTTTCAACTAGGCAATTTTATTTTCAGTTTTTATGCCACTGCTTCTAAACAGTCAGCTCTTGATACCATTCTAGAAATCAAAATAGCTGGAATCAAACTATGTATCTCATAATTATGAAGCACATTTGAAAACCTAAGCAACAGACACCAACAAATGATATATGTTAAACAAACTATGTCTGATAAACAAATATCTCACCATAAACAAATTATCAAATGATGAAGACTTGGGAAGGCTTACACATGCAACAACAACAAAATGCTGCAGAAGTCAGATGCATCTAATGAAAAGCTTAAATATTGCAGCCATATTGTAAATGGAAACTTCTTCTTCTTCTGAGTTCATCCGAAGATGTAATTGCGTTGTGTCCGTTTACAGCATGGCTGCAATATTTGCACCTTTTGGCAAACACATCCGACATCTGCTGGCATTTGTTGACTGGTTTAGCCTTCCCGGTGTAAATGGAAACAACCCTTTACATCTTCAAATGAACATAGAGGAAGAGGAAGAAGAGAAAGAAAAAGAATAGGAAGAAGAAGATGACGAACTGATAAACAAAAGATTATATGCCACTTACTTTTAAATATATTTTCCTGGGAACATGTGGATTTCTCTATTTCTGAGAATGAGCAACTGCCGGTTATAATCGAGGTGTAGGCATACACAAATGTCGTAAAGAAGCCACAATACAATCTACTGGTTACATGATTCAAAAACATGACTGGCAGCAACCAAGCAGTACAAGTGTCATTATATGCAAGCAGTCTATGAGAGAAAATGAAATATGTATAAGAAAAATCTGTCATTTTTAATAACTGTTAAAAAGTAAATGTTAACTCTTACTCAATGAGTATACTCAGGAAGATATGAAAGGGCTGGATCCAAAGACAGTGACTGGAATCTCCAAAGTGGTTGGGGCTGGCACATATCAGTTTTATCTTTGTGCCAGGGCACGCAGGTGTGCAAGGAAGTGAGCAAGCTGATTGGCTTGCAGGTACAGCTACTGTGGAGGGCAGACAAGCCATGAACCATGTTGATATTCTGAATGCTCTACAAGAAGTAAGATGTTTGCGAGAACGCAGTGATGACTGTGAATCTGTAACAATAACAGACTGCAAAAATAACATGTTTAAAGCGGTGTGGCCAGACAAGAGTACTATGCAGGAAGCCAAAGAAGAATAAGAAACCAGCACAGAAATGGTGTCATGAGCCACTACCTACTGCAGGATTTACTGAGGGGATCCGAGCACTTAGGGACTGAATGATTCCATGTACAATAAGGATAATCTGTCGACTAACTAACTAAATGTTAACTCTTGCATTCCCAAAATGTTGTTACGTTAATTCCTTCTGTTCTAAGGAACTAAGCTCAAAGGCGATAACATCTGAAGAAGTTCAGAACAGAAATTATGAGGCAGGAGTGGTCAAATTAATCATTCAGACTAAAGAGTTGTATGGGGCAGAAACATGGAGAATAACTAAGGCAGTTACTAATAAACTACAAACATTCATTAACTGGTGCCCAAGCAGAACAGAGGGAATTAAATGGTATGATAGAATCACTAATGTTGAGCTTTGAGAGATAACTAAACAAGTTTCAGTAGACCAAGAGGTGAAGAAAAGTAGCTGGCGTTGTATTGAACACACGCTGAGCAAACCTTAGAACAATATAACTAGAAAATGTTTGCACTGGTACATACAGGGGCTTAGAAATAAAGGAAGACCAAAAAAGACATGGAGTAAGAGCCAGAGAGTGAAGTTCAAAAGACTAGAAGGACGTGGGGATAGCTGTATGCGACACAGAAGAATAGCAGTAATTATTTATTTTAGTATTAGAACGACACCTGGCATGAGATCATGAGTGCCTATGCACCATTGGGGTTATAAAGGCAGAACAAGAAAAAGAATACATATATCCTTGGAAAATGTCCTCATGTCAGACAGAATACATTTTACGCCAGCTTGTTGGCTGAATCACTGATGATCTAATTTATGAAACTTCAATCATATGCGGCGATTTCTTCCATACTTACAAATCAAACCTTTGGTTTGACGAAACGAAATAAACAATCGTAGCGGTAGTAGTAAGTAATGACATAATCAATCCACGGGATTATAATATTATAAATGAGATTTATAATGCCGTATACTTTTAATATTTTGCATGTCTGATAATTATTTCATTCGGTCACGTATGTTATTTTTTATAAATTTTAAAATATTTGTTTATTTCAAAAAATACTAAGCTCATTTATACCGTTTACTGGCGGCTCCGGTGACAGTTTTTAACGCCGTCTGCTTCGCTGACTGTAAATTGTTGTAATTGTTTGTAGTTTCTCGGTGGTCGGTGAGTGAAAGCACTTTTTTGCGGTTGTGTAAGTGTGTTTTGCATAACCGACAGTCAATAGTAGTTGTATATTTGCCCTATCACAATATGCATTAAGAGTGATTGTTTCAAATGTCTGACCTGGTTCTGTGTGAATGTCCCTAGGCCTGGCTAGAGCAGACAACGACAAAAATCTTTCAAGTTTAGTCAACAATTACAATGAATAAGTTGAGGCTAAAAGAAAAAGCCAACTTTTCATTGCACCGGGTCTTATCCCATATGACTCCGTCTTTCTCTCCGAAATTGGCAACCCAACCATCTAACTGAGAGCGTAGCACAAAGCACGCACGAACTCCCTAGGTCCAGCGACGATCCCCATGGATCTCTGTCATGGGGAGGAAAAATAACTAGATTGTGAACTGAACGCCTATCAAACAAACCAGTGACTTTCAGAGAATGAGTCAAATGGTTTGACTACTCCCCCATTGAGTTTTCGGCTCTCCTTTCAACTACGGCCGGTAGACAACAGTAGACGGCCGGTTAGTCGGAGTTCTGTCCCCTGGCTGCAGTGCAATTACGGACTGGCGAAGGCACGAATCAGAAAACAAAGTGAGGTGGACATGCCTGGCAGACCCCGCGCTGCGACTCAAATTAGCGACCGCGTTCAATTACCGCTTCTTGCGATGCATTATGGAGTGGATTAGAGGGAATGAAACAAGTGACATAATTACTGTGTGTTGGCGATAGACAGCGTGCAGTGCCCTACTGTCATCATACGGTTTGGGTTAGGGGTAGGGTTTGGGTTAGGTTTAGGGTTAGGGTTTGGGTTGCTACTTTGAGTTTGTGCAAAGACAAGATGCGGCGACACTAACCCTAACCCTAACCCAAACCCAAACCCTAAACCTAACCCAAACCCTAACCGTATGATTATAGCAGGACAGTGCACACTGTCTATCGCCAACACACAGTAATTATGTCATTTGTTTCGTTTCCTCCTGTAATAGCACTGCAGCCAGGGGACAGAACTCCGACTAACCGGCCATCTACTGTTGTCTACCGGCCGTAGTTGAGAGCCGAGTTTTCTACACAACCCCCCCCCCCCCCCCCCCCCCGACTAGTTTGTTTTGATGCTGATCATGATCAACTCACTTGTCCACTCAGTCTCAACCTCTGCCGTTTAATATTTTCCAGATAGGATAAGAAATGATGTTTACAGCGAATCCTAAATGAAACTAAATGAGACAAGAGACCAGAAATAACGATATCTGGAAAAAAAGATTGGGATGGAACCAGTATTAAACTACATCAAGAGACAACAGATCAAGTGGTTTGGTCATGTGTCAAGACTGCCATCAGACAGTGCATCACAGAGAGCCCTGTCACTTAGACATAATGGATGCAAATCCAGACGTCGACCATGCAAGCGTTGGATAGATGGAATATCTGAGGCCATAAATACCAGTATCTGCATAGAACATACCAAGACTCTCACCCAATGCCTCTTCAGAACCTGATTCTGAAAGACAGCACAGGATTAGAGAAGAGTACTTGGTGCTTTATTAATATCCTACCCCCGGATGACGTCACAGGACAGTCCAACATTTTAGAGGGTGGTAAGACTATGTTTCCTGGCTTTCTGATGCTTTAACGAGCCCAAAACATCTAGAACTGGCCCTAACCCCAACCCACCTATGTCCCACAAGAGAGTGAAGTCCAGGTCCCACGGCTGCTTGCAGCATAGGTCCCACGACTGCATGCCACCCATCTACCAATTATATTGAGATGGTTAAGGGGGTGGGGGGAACTTAGCCCCTTGTCATTTTTCGGCCCGGAAGGGGGGGGGGGGGGGGGGGGGGGTAAGGGTTGGCCCAGAGTGTATGAGTTCCCAGGTTCCCTTGCCCCTGAACTAAACATATTATCTATTTGCATTATTTAGTTTTTGCTTTACACACAAAAAAACACAATAAAAACCTTTAATTTCAGCAAGTTCCAGTCTTCAAAAATGCCGAGAGGGTCAAAGGGCAAAGGCAATAATGCAAACGAAAATGGCAAAGCTGAGGCAAAGTCAGAACCTAAAGTAGATGTGAAATCTGAAATAAAAACTGAAAGTAAGAATGAGAAATCTGAGCCAGTAAAAGCTGCTGACGTAAAAATTGAAAATTCTGCAGCTAGCACTAGTGGTCAGTGTCTGAGTCCAACGTTATCCTCGTCGTCTGCTGATGAGGGAAAAGGTGCATTAGGGGGAGTGACAGCTTCGTCGCGAGAAAAAATACAAACATTTCTTAGTGAGCTGTTTCATAATATCAAGGATATACAGGTGAGAGATAGCAACATATATGTTTATTTTGTGTTGAGATTAACCCTTCTGCCCCACGATATTTTGTGATGAGATTAACCCTTTTGCCCCACGATATTTTGTGTTGAGATTACCCCTTCTGCACCACGATATTTTGTGTTGAGATTAACCCTTCTGCCCCACGATATTTTGTGTTGAGATTACCCCTTCTGCCCCTCGATATTTTGTGTTGAGATTAACCCTTATGTCCCACGATATTTTGTGATGAGATAAACCCTTATGTCCCACGATATTTTGTGTTGAGATTAACCCTTCTGCCCCACGATATTTTGTGTTGAGATTAACCCTTCTGCTCCACGATATTTTGTGTTGAGATTAACCCTTCTACCCCACGATATTTTGTGTTGAGATTAACCCTTCTGTCCCACGATATTTTGTGTTGAGATTAACCCTTATGTCCCACAGTATTTTGTGTTGAGATTAACCCTTCTACCCCACAATATTTTGTGTTGAGATTAACCCTTCTGTCCCACGATATTTTGTGTTGAGATTAACCCTTATGTCCCACAATATTTTGTGTTAAGATTAACCCTTATGTCCCACAATATTTTGTGTTGAGATTAACCCTTCTGCCCACGATATTTTGTGTTGAGATTAACCCTTCTACCCCATGATATTTTGTGTTGAGATTAACCCTTCTGCCCCACAATATTTTGTGTTGAGATTAACCCTTCTGCCCCACGATATTTTGTGTTGAGATTAACCCTTTTGCCCATAGATATTATGTGTTGGGATTAACCCTTCTGCCCCACGATTCCTACAGAAATTCGTCATAAACCTGTGGGAATTTCAGGGAAAATCCAGAAAACAAACCCAACCATTTTACAGAAGAACCGGCCAATCAAACTCACCCAAAATCGCCCCGACTGCGGAGCAGCCAATCCAACGATCTGAAGTGCAGCACAAGGCCAGCCAGATATGAAATCAGCCAAACTACAAGAAACCACAACAAACACCGAGCGACAGAATACTGACAGAGCAGTTCAAAACCAGATGAGATGAAGACCAGAAACGTCGCCACAAATATAGCCGGCAGAGAGCAGCAATGTGTTCTGGTCCTTAGCTGAAAGTGGTCACCGTTGATTGATTGATTTACACAAGTTGCTGAAACATTTAACAAAAAAATGTATTTATCTACGTTAAAATTTTTTTGTAGTAGATGAAGGTATGCAAAAGAGATAATCTATAAACACAAACATAAATAAAGAGTTAAATGGAATTGATTTCTATGGCCTGAAAAAAAAGCATGTGAATCAGTGATCTCTATCACTGAGGTATATGGGAGAAATTTGACATTAACTTGGCTTTTAAAAACCATTGGGGTCATATGAATGTTGAATTAAGAATCAACATCATAGCACTCAGGACACTCCCTTAAGCGCTTTGTCCCCATCTTCAGCAGCAAGCTGGTGTCATAAGGAAACTCCTAAATGCTATTTTTAGTTATCCAATAATATCCTTACCTGTTCAACAGGCACACATAGAACCAAATTAATTTTAGCGATGTTTTTTGAGAACAGGTGGCTGTAGTCAGGCCGATATATCAGTATTGATGGAGGAGAAACATCTTGTACGGAGGAAAAGAACAGCTTGTGAAAACATGTAAATTCTACTACATGGCATTGGGCCAAAGGGCGAAAGCTCATGCACCTCTGGATCAATAACAACAACATCAGTATTGACGGGACTGTGTCACATCTGGAAATGGCTAGATTTAGTCATCTCAAGGTGACAGGGTTAAGAATCTTCTTGTTATGATCCATGCCATATGGTATTGGTAATCAAGCCATCCACAGCCTTCTGACTCGTATACTGATAATCATTTGTGATAGAGGTGTTTTTCCATGCCACGATACAAACTGTCCAGCCTCTTTTCTCTTGGCCTCCCGCAGCCTGTCTTTCTCTTCAGCTTTCCTGTTGTCACAGTGTACACCAGTTTATCCTTTTTCAGAGCTATTAGTAAAGTAGATGCCTCTGGGGAAAATCCGAATGTAGGGCCTCTAGGTAATGGGGACCAGAGTTAACACACTGGGGTAAATGGAGGAACTTCGCTGTAGCTACGGAGTTGCGTGTGGACGGCGACACAGGCTGATAGTTTCTTATCAGCTGTCCGCACTGCTGGCAGAGCACTTATGGTTTATAACCTTGTGCAATGACGCTGGTTTACATCTCCCGACTTACCTTTACCTTTTTACACTTGTATTGGTTAGATGAAATAACATGAGTGAGAATGTGTTAACATGGAATTAAGAGTGGATCTTGCAAGTAGGGACATATGGAACGAAGAGAACTACAAGTGAATGATCAATGTTCTACAGGAACAGTTAGCATCTACACCTTGAGACATTTGCCGCGTGGGACGGAACATCTAAGAGTATGCTATGATGTTGATTCTTGAATTAGTAATCAGTGTTGTAATCTAACTCTGTTGTCATTCATAAAGGTTGAACGAGATAGAGCAGAACACAATTTAACCAACATTAGCAAGACACATGAGAAAATGCAGGAAGAAGGGAAAGGTCAGTATTGTGTGTGGTTTAAATGTTTATATTGCTTTTGAATTTACATGAACTTTCTCTGTGTATGTGTTTATTCAATGGATCATCATCATGGCACACGGGTGTGACCCATAAGTGCTCCGTTCTTCTTCTAACTCAAGTCTGAGTCCGAAGAATCTGAGTGCATTGCTCGAACTGCGTAGCACCGACGAGGATCCTGAAATACTTTGGGTAGATTTTTAACTCCACATTTTGCCTGGGCAGCGCCATTAGGCTACTCTTTTCAATATCCACATGCCAAGGGATTTTTTTTTACGAGTGCAAAAATATACACGGGCGTCCGGTCTTACTACCCAGAGACCAGGAATAAATTACTAGAAATCCACGTGAATAAATTCCCAGCCTTCACCGGGGCTGAATCCGGGACCTCTGGCACTCAAGGCGGACACCATGCCTCGAGACCAGGCAGCCCCCTGAACCTTCTTATACTAAGTGTATGCTTCTTCTTCTTCTTCTTCTTCTTCACCAGCTGAAAAATCCAGCAGAAAGTCCTGATTGGTTGTTTCTAGAACTTGGTCTTGTTTCAGCACTGCAGTTTTGTGTAAACATCCGTTAGTGCTGTAATAATATCCTACCCCAGATGACATCACAGTGTAAACATCCTTTAGTCCTTTAATAATATCCTACCCCAGATGACATCACAGTGTAAACATACTTTATTGCTTTAATAATATCCTACCCCAGATGACATCCACAGTGTAAACATCCTTTAGTTGCTCACAGTGTAAACAAGTGCTTTAATATATCCTACCCAGATGACATCACAGTGTAAACATCCTTTAGTGCTATTTAATAATATCCTACCCCAGATGACATCACAGTGTAAACATCCTTTAGTGCTTTAATAATATCCTTTCACAGTGTAAACATACTTTAATTAATATCCTACCCCAGATGACATCACAGTTGTAAACATCCCTTTAGTGCTTTAATAATATCCTACCCCAGATGACATCACAGTGTAAACATACTTTAGTGCTTTAATAATATCCTACCCCAGATGACATCACAGTGTAAACATACTTTAGTGCTTTAATAATATCCTACCCCAGATGACATCACAGTGTAAACATACTTTAGTGNGAATGTAGGGCCTCTAGGTAATGGGGACCAGAGTTAACACACTGGGGTAAATGGAGGAACTTCGCTGTAGCTACGGAGTTGCGTGCGGACGGCGACACAGGCTGATAGTTTCTTATCAGCTGTCTGCACTGCTGGCAGAGCACTTATGGTTTATAACCGTGTGCAATGACGCTGGTTTACATCTCCCGACTTACCTTTACCTTTTTACACTTGTCCTGGTTAGATGAAATAACATGAGTGAGAATGTGTTAACATGGAATTAAGAGTGGATCTTGCAAGTAGGGACATATGGGACGAAGAGAACTACAAGTGAATGATCAATGTTCTACAGGAACAGTTAGCATCTACACCTTGAGACATTTGCCGCGTGGGACGGAACATCTAAGAGTATGCTATGATGTTGATTCTTGAATTAGTAATCAGTGTTGTAATCTAACTTTGTTGTCATTCATAAAGGTTGAACGAGATAGAGCAGAACACAATTTAACCAACATTAGCAAGACACATGAGAAAATGCAGGAAGAAGGGAAAGGTCAGTGTTGTGTGTGGTTTAAATGTTTATATTGCTTTTGAATTTACATGAACTTTCTCTGTGTATGTGTTTATTCAATGGATCATCATCATGGCACACGGGTGTGACCCATAAGTGCTCCGTTCTTCTTCTAACTCAAGTCTGAGTCCGAAGAATCTGAGTGCATTGCTCGAACTGCGTAGCACCGACGAGGATCCTGAAATACTTTGGGTAGATTTTTAACTCCACATTTTGCCTTTGCAGCGCCATTAGCCTACTCTTTTCAATATCCACATGCCAAGGGATTTTTTTTTTTATGAGTGCAAAAATATACACGGGCGTCCGGTCTTACTACCCAGAGACCAGGAAAAAATTACTAGAAATCCACGTGAATAAATTCCCAGCCTTCACCGGGGCTGAACCCGGGACCTCTGGCACTCAAGGCGGACACCATGCCTCGAGACCAGGCAGCCACCTGAACCTTCTTATATTGAGTGTATGCTTCTTCTTCTTCTTCTTCTTCTTCTTCTTCTTCTTCTTCTTCTTCTTCTTCTTCTTCTTCTTCTTCTTCTTCTTCTTCTTCTTCTTCTTCTTCTTCTTCTTCTTCTTCTTCTTCTTCTTCTTCACCAACTGAAAAATCCAGCTGAAAGTCCTGATTGGTTGTTTCTAGAACTTGATCTTGTTCCAGCACTGCAGTTTTGTGTAAACATCCGTTAGTGCTGTAATAATATCCCACCCCAGATGACATCACAGTGTAAACATCCGTTAGTGCTTTAATAATATCCTACCCCAGATGACATTACAGTGTAAACATCCATTAGTGCTGTATTAATATCCTACCCCAGATGACATCACAGTGTAAACATCAGTTAGTGCTGTAATAATATCCCACCCCAGATGACATCACAGTGTAAACATCCTTTAGTGCTTTAATAATATCCTACCCCAGATGACATCACAGTGTAAACATCCTTTAGTGCTTTAATAATATCCTACCCCAGATGACATCACAGTGTAAACATCCATTAGTGCTGTATTAATATCCTACCCCAGATGACATCACAGTGTAAACATCCTTTAGTGCTTTAATAATATCCTACCCCAGATGACATCACAGTGTAAACATCCTTTAGTGCTTTAATAATATCCTACCCCAGATGACATCACAGTGTAAACATCCTTTAGTGCTTTAATAATATCCTACCCCAGATGACATCACAGTGTAAACATCCTTTAGTGCTTTAATAATATCCTACCCCAGATGACATCACAGTGTAAACATCCATTAGTGCTTTAATAATATCCTACCCCAGATGACATCACAGTATAAACATCCATTAGTACTTTAATAATATCCTACCCCAGATGACATCACAGTGTAAACATCCTTTAGTACTTTAATAATATCCTACCCCAGATGACATTACAGTGTAAACATCCGTTAGTGCTTTAATAATATCCTACCCCAGATGACATCAAAGGACAGTCCAACAATTTAGAGTAAGACTGGGTTTTCCCACTTTCTGATGCTTTTAATGACTCCAAAACATCTAGAACTGGCTATAATCCCAACCCACCTAATATTACTATTAATATTACTTCTGACCATTTACATGGATGTTTAGTTAAAATATTATGTGCTTGGTCTGTCTGTGAAGGCTGAAATATATTTGTAAGCAAGTGTATCTGCTTTCCATGTCTAAAGGCTTTGGTTAGACTGAGTTTTGATGTATTGTTTGATATTTGACTGCAGTGACGCCCTACTACAGGCAGAAGTTGAAGTCGCTCTACAGTGCTGCTACAACAGATGCTGAAGCTGAGGCAGAGTAAGAGCAGGGTACTCTTCACTTATGGCCAGAATGAGGGAGAGAGAATGTGAAAGAGAGAGAGAAAGAACATGAAAGAGAGAACAAGAGAGAGAGAACAAGAAAGAAGGGGAGAGAATATGAAAGAGAGAAAATTAGAGAGAGCATGAAAGAGAGAGAGACAGTGTGAAAGAGGGAGAACATGAAAGAGAGAACATGAATGATAGAGAGAACGTGAAAGAGAGAAAATGACAAGAGGTAGCAGGGATGTAATGTGAAAGAGAGAATGTAATAGGGAGAGAACATAATAAAGGGAGAACATGGGAAAACAAAAATGAAAGAGAACAAGAGATAAAACATGAAAGAGAGAATATAAAAGAGAGAACAAGAAAGAGAGAGGGTGTGAAAAAGAGAGTAAAGGAAAGAGAGAGAGAGCAAGAGAGAAAAAGTAAGGTTGAACAAGATAAAGCTTTAACAAGAAAGAGAAAGAAGGAAAAAAGTGGGAAAGTAAGAGAGAACACAAAAGAGAGAACAAGAAAAAGGGGGGGGGGGAGAACAAAAAAGAGGTTGAACAAGAGAGAGAGTGAGAAAGAGAAAAGAGAGAACAAGAAAAAGAGGGGGGGGGGGGAGAACAAGAAAAGAGGTTGAACAAGAGAGCGATAGAGTGAGAAGGAGAAAAGAGAGAACAAGAAAAAAGAGAGGGGGTGGTGGAGAGAACAAGAGGTTGAACAAGAGAGAGAGTGAGAAAGAGAAAAGAGAGAAAACAGAAAGTAGAAGGCTAGGCAATTTGTCTCTGAAATCTGAAAACATCTGTTTATTTTGGAGGTCATTCAATTGATCGACCAGTTTGTCCCTTCCAGGCTGATACCTTAAGGTTTACTGCAACATCATGAGATGAACCTGACTCAATGAACCTGACTCAATGAACCTGACTCAATGAACCTGACTCAATGAACCTGACTCAATGAACATGACTCAATGAACCTGACTCAGTGAACCTGACTCTCTACCAACCTTCTACTCTAGATGATGGCGAACCCAAAGTACACCAGACCTAGCTATAACTACAGAAAACATCCAGCCAAGACATTATAAAAGTACATAGGGCTGAAGAATTGGCTAGAGACAGAGACTTTCAGGCGTGCCGTGACGTGAGCGACGTTCTGTAAAGGACATGCTGATTGATTGATTGAATGAATAAATGGCTGCCCATCTAAATGAAAGCTGCAGTCCTAAGCGCATAAGGATGAATTTCGGTGTCATGAAAGTGCACAGCAGCTCACGTCTTTCAGAACGTTTCTGTTCGCTTCTCAAAAAATGTTTTCCCATTATAAAATAATGACAGCTATTGTATTTATTTATAGAGTGATACGTGCAGCTTTGGAAAAAATAAAAGAGATCAAGAAGCTACAGGAAAAGTCAGCGAAACAAAAACATGGTTGGTTTGTAGATTTACATATTTATAGCCTAAATGTTTTTTTTTTTTCTTTTGTTTTGCACCTGCCAGCTTCAAACTCTGACAGAAAGTTTAACTTTTGCATCCACTTCTAGACTTTGAGTTTTGTGTGCATGTCTGTTTTACAGATCTGGCTTATTTATATGCAGATTGTTGGCCCCTCACTCTCACTCAGAGGCACTTCAGCTTCAAAGGAAACAACCCTAGTCGCCTTTTACATCACACTTGTGGTGGTGGGGGGTGTCTGTGTGTGTGTGTATTCTCTTTTCCTCCAAAATAATGCCACGGAAACCAGACTGGGAGCAGATGTGTTTTATTATTACTGTTATGTTGTTGTTTTATTTATGTTTCTGCTTCTCCACCCCCACCCCCCACCCCCCAATTTGGCCCACAATACTGCTTTTATTCAGCTGTTCTTTGTTCATTTTTCAGATGTAGCTTTATTATATTTATTGGTTTTCTTCTTGATGTGAATTTTTCTGTCCATAGTATGTAGAAATACCACAGTAAACCAACAGATTGTTTGGCTATAAAAGCTTAAATAGTAGAAATGTTCATTATGGATAAGACTAGGCACACATTCTGAAGGCTTCTTATGAATGAATGCTAGTGGAAGATACAATGTTAGATAGAACAACACGGGTAACGGTGGTGAATTGATACATGACAAGGCAGATGTGGTCAAGGCCCTTTGGGAACAAGCAACGGAATCAGTAGAAAAACAAGATTATTAAGGCCTGGAGGAAATGAAGCACTTGGGTGTAACCAGAGGGTCTGGCTCACTACACTCAGAGGAAAAGCAAGACAGACATATAACCAGATTGTGACTGGCACCATCAGTATTGGAACTCTGCGCTGGTTGCTGAAGATAAGGACAGAGCAAGCATGGGAATGCCCCTAGTGCTGTGATATCAGTTCTTGACTGAACTCAACAAAGGTATAGTTGCATGGATTTGATGTTATGAATGGATCTGGCAACCAGTGAGCTACTGAAACAATCAGCATCTATACTTGTTAGTATTTTGCTGCAGAAGTTGAAGCATTTGTAGATAAGCCCTATGTGCTATGATAATTCTTAAATGAAATCAGTAATCAGGTAACTTGACAGTTTCAATTGTTTTGTTTTGGCTTTGTTTTTAAAATTATTGTAATTTATTTGTATTTTTTAAACGCCACATTGGATTAAATGATTAAATGTGAGAGACAATTCTTGACAGTGTTTTGTAATGGCAGGGAGGGGTGTCAACACATGAACTACATGCTGTTGGAAATGGCAGGTTACGGAGAGGCATGATTGCCTATGCCGGTCGGCAAGCTACTTGATGATGGTAATGATTATGATGATGAGCTTACTGTTCCAGATTGTACAGGCACGTGAAGGAAGATTGGCTCATAAACAGCATCTTGTCTGGGAAACTGAAGTACTTTGGTTATACCAAGTGCATGGCAGATTGAGAAAAAACAAAAAAGCAGAATGTATGGTACTAGGCAAGAGTGGTAGGAGCCGACCTACATGAAGATGGGTACAGAATTATAAGTGACTCCTTGGGTAGGAAAGTGTACCAGACTGGAGAGCTGACATGAGACCAAGTTTGTTTTTTCAGGCGGATTGTGATGAGAGATGTTCTGCAAAGGACTTGTTACATGATGATGGTGATTATATAGTAGACCTTGTATTAAATAGATGCACAGTATAATGGAACCCACAGGGGCATAGGAATAAAGGAAGGCCAAAAAACACATGGAGAAGGGAGCTGGAGAAGGAAGTTAGAAAGATGAAGGAGGACATGGGAAGAGCTGCATGCGATAGCAAAGGATGGAACGACTTAACGCGAGTTGGTTGAGGGCCTATGCTCCATTGGGGGCTAGACAGGCAGAAGAAGATAATGGAATAAAACCTGAATTCTGTGTTGGTGTTTGGTTTGGTATTGCAGATTCTGGGAGACCCAAGCAGATCATGCGCAGAGGCGTCCTGATGTCACAGCTGCAACAGAATGCCACCACGCTACCACTGTGGGTGAGCAAGCCTGGAGAGAGGTTGGTCAATTATCTCTATGCTGAGTTGTAACTGTTAAAATCTCATGCACTGTTGTTTTCGTAGTCATCTGAACCCTGATTAAAAAATTGAAGAGAGAATGGTGCAGGGGGGGAATGTCTGAGAGCTCGGAGATGCGGTTTGGGGGGGGGGGGGGAGGCAAAGCAAGCAGTTAGCCAAATTACAATAGATGAGACTCTTTGCTGGCTGTCGAGGAGATAGACAGAGCTACGGGTAAATTGTGTGTGGCTCTCAGCCTTCCTAAAGCCTCTACTCTTTAAAACAGTTCCTCATGTTATGGTGACCCCCAACCAGAAAATTATTTTCCTTGCTACTTCACAACTATAGCGAATATGGGTTTTTCAGTGGTCTTAGGCGACCCCTGTGAAACGGTCGTTTGACTCCCCAAAGGGATTGTGACCCACAGGTTGAGAACAGCTGATCTAAACACTAGACAGGCACAAACAGTACCGAGTGTCATCGGCGAGGCTTCTTGGGGACGGGCAGTAGCAGAAGTATCTGGTAAGCAGTATTTATGGGATGGAGTCACTGATGAAAATGCCAGGTTCATGTCTTCCTGACAGTTTATTTATACCAAGCCATTCTTTTTTAAAAACTGCTTATGAGACTTTTACAGCAAGACATCTGGGAGGAAGGTGAGAGGAAGACCAAGAGAGAGATGGATAAATGGTGTAGAAACCTGCAAAAAGATTAACAGATTCCATCACCCTAGCCACCCAAGAAGCGCAAGACAAATACAGAAAACTACGACACTGGGCTGCAACCTGGTATCAGTGAGAGGACAAAAGAAGAAGAAGTTAAAAGGATTCACATTTTGTGCTTCATTATATATTGATACCTTTCCTTTAAAGTAAACAAGGCAGGTCGAGGAAGGATCATGATGCATGGGCAACATATGGTCTCTGCACTACTGCCCAGGTTTTATGCTATGGAAAGGATGAACTTCATCCCTGGCCGTACACGGGTGGGTCTTGCTAGTCACACTCGTCTTGAGCTGTGAGTCCCATGCCTCCTCATATCGCAATATAAACTATCGTCTGGAATACGGATAGGTGCCAATCATTTGTTGATATAATGCCTGGTAGTAATACATCTGTCAAGATAGGGCAAAATCTGCCACTCAAAGGATTGTGTGATCTCATAATTTAAAGAGGACTGTTGGAATAATAGCAACAACAACAGAACATATAATATCTTTACCAGTACCTAAAAGTGTAGTTCAGCTAATTTTTCGTTTTTTTGGTGGTTTCTTTGGGGAAATGGTCAAATCCTTTACCTTACACTCTGAAGGTCCTGGGTTTGCATGCTGACTGCAGTGTTTGGTTCACACAATGTTTACAGCGACCCCAGGGGGCTCGTCATTGGAGCTGCAGTGTTTGGACTTTGTGCGAAGCTCTCAGCATATCGTTCGTTCGTTAGAAATTTTAAAAAAAAAAGGAAAAAATCGGACGCCTTCAGGCGCGCCACTGGGGCTTTGCTTTACTTGCATCCTTCTTTTGTGCGGATTTGTGTTAAGGCGTGTGAGTGCGCCTTCAGTATGCCACTTGTTCTCCTTGCCATTATCGGTGTTGGAGCTGATTCCTTAGCTGGTTGTCAATCACGCAGTCACTGATTCTACCAGGGTCGTCGCCAAGAGCAACTTCTCGAAACAAATAAGCCAGCACTGAGCCAACAACCACAAGACCCTTTTCAGGGACCCCAATTTAACATCTTTTTGGTGCTTTTATTTTTTCACCTCCTACGGCGTAATGCTGACCACATTACCCACCGAGTGCCGATTGGTCTGTAAAAATATGGGACGCTCTGCCCATATGCCCGATGCGCCTCAGGCGTAATAAGGGATCTTTACTTTTACTTTACTTACATGTGTAGGGGTGTGAGCTTTTCTGTTTTTGTTTTTTTTGGTTTTTTTTTTTGTTTTTGTTGGGGGTTTTTTGTTTTTGTTTTTTTTCTCTCAGCATATGGAGAGAGACCGAGTTCTATAGTCTAAAACCTGGTGCAGTGAAGTAGATCCTCTCGACTTGAGCAATTTTTGTTTTAAACTTGTATTTATTGCTTTCACTCCAGCCCTCCTCCATTATGTGGAGCTGTCCCTGCTGACAGTAACTACATATCACAGGCTGAGGACAAGGTCGCTGCCAGGGTGAAAGGTCAGGATGAGGAAGAGAACTGGATCTTAGCTGAGGTCGTGGAGTTCAATCCACATACTGGGAAGTACGAGGTTGATGATGTCGATGCTGAAGAAGGAAAAGAGTGAGTGTTTTCATGTATTGGAATATTGAACTTTGGTTATATGAATTTGGGTATTAATTGTAAGAGTATTTGAACAAGTTATGGCAGGGTATGCCCATATTTTGCCCTGCTTTTTCTTAAGGGGCCGACCAGTCTGCACAGTGCTGATGCTGGATGGGTCCTCTAGGGACAGTATGTATAGGTGAGAGGATGACAAAATTGCTACACACAAATGGGGCTGTAAATACAACAAGACCACTAGATCAGGGAATAACAAAGTCGCCACACAGATGGGTCTGTCAAATACAACAAGACCACTAGATCAGGGAATGACCAAGTCACTGCACAGATGGGTCTGTCAAATACAACAAGACCACTAGATCAGGGAATGATCAAGTCACCGCACAAATGGGTCTGTCAAATACAACAAGACCACTAGATCAGGGAATGATCAAGTCACCGCACAGATGGGTCTGTCAAATACAACAAGACCACTAGATCAGGGAATGATCAAGTCACCGCACAGATGGGTCTGTCAAATACAACAAGACCACTAGATCAGGGAATGACCAAGTCACCGCACAGATGGGTCTGTCAAATACAACAAGACCACTAGATCAGGAAATGACAAATTTATGACACAGATGGGGCTGTCAAATACAACAAGACCACTTGATCAGTGAATGACAAAAGTATCACACAAATGGGCCTGTCACATACAAGACCACTAGATCAGGACTGATAAAGTCATCACACAAATGGGGCCGTCACATACAACAAGACCACTAGATCAGGACTGATAAAGTCATCACACAAATGGGGCCGTCACATACAACAAGACCACTAGATCAGGAAATGACAAATTTATGACACAAACGAGGCTGTAAAAAGGTCACTATTTTCTTCACCATTAACTGAGAAGGCTAACCTGAAAAAGCAAATATCCAAAGAAGTCAGATGATGTAGACCAAAAGATGCAAATGTCACAGCTAGGCTATAAAGAGGCAGAATGCATTTATGTGGCCCAGATAATGATGAAGAAGAAGTAACTGCTAAACATAAACTTTATCTTGGTCCATTACACAAGCAACAAATGTAACACAGTAACCTATCCACAAAACACCCACAAATGAACTAACTCTGAAATGACTAAATTACAGAATTAAAATAAGCAGGTATAGAGGGAGTCAACTGTACTCATAGCATAATTGGAACTCAACATTTCTCTTAATGTCTTACTCCTCAAAATTAAGCTGAGAATCAGAAGTTCAAGAGCAACAGGGAATTCAGCATACAAAAGTTTCTCTTGTATTTTATGTATTCAGAAGTACCGTATTTCTCCAAGTATAAGACAAACTTATTCTCTCTCTCTGTTGTTGTACCCCATCAGGAGATCACACAAGCGATAAACACCAGGTGACACAAAGTGCCACCATGCAGATAAGGATCACCTGTGGAAAAGTCCTGGAAACCCCGTTCAGCCATTAGGCTATATTTATGGCCCGGCTATATTTAGGGCCCCCTGCAAAAGCAAGGGTGGGGCTTCAAAGTAACAAAAATATTACATCCCACAAAGTGACGGCTTTTGACATACTAATTTTCCAATAATATAAGGTCTAAAAACAGTGCAGTGATAGTAGATTTTTTCCAAATGAATTATTATAATAATAATTTTTTTTAAAAATCTAGTCCTAAAATCAATGTGTGTCTTAAACATGGGCGTCATCTTATACATGGGGGTCATCTTATACATGGGGGTCGTCTTATACATGGGGGTCGTCTTATACATGGGGTCGTCTTATACTTGAGGAAGTACGGTAGATTAACCACTTTCAAACAGAGATAAATGCATTTTTTCTGCAGGCGTCACTGCATCAGTAAACGTAGAGTTGTTCCCCTTCCTATATGGAAAGCAAACCCAGAGACTGATCCTGGAGCTTTGTTTCCTAAAAAGACGGTGAGATATGGTTTCATTGTATTAAACCTTTTGAAAACTGCTGTAAACTAAACAACAATGCAGTTGTAATTTGTATTGTCTTTTTTTTTTTCTCTTTTTGCTCTCTGTCTTTTGTTAAATTTGTTTAAGCTTATTAGTTATCACTTTTGCTCTGGAATCCCTAATATACCTAGGAAATTAGGATCTGCCTTTGTAATGACTGGACTTGGTTGAATGTGTATTGGAAATCAATACTTAGTTTAGTGAACTTCGGTGCACTGTGGAGTATGAAGAGCATGGTGTGGCACGTAAAACATCCATGCACTTGACTTCATCTCCAGCCGTCTCAACTTGTCCTACCACTGGATCCAGATGGGCACAGGTGAGAGAGTGAGGTCAACGACATTGCGCTACTCTTCCTCACTTTATACCAGTTCATCGCGCAAGTGACTTTCATAATTTCATTCATATTAGGATACTTTCATGACGGATGAAAGTAAGAGTGGGCCTCATCAATTGTGATGGATGAACATCATAACAGAAAATTTTAAAAAAAAGCACAGATACTATTTAGAATATAGCCTCAGAGAGAACCAGCCATATAGATACAACTGATTTTATTCATTTTAGTATAGGAGGACAATACAGACAGTACAGGTTGACATTTAAAAAATCAAGCAACTTGCAGTCAGGAGTGCCAGATGTAGAAAAATTAGGGCTGTACCTAATATTCGCTTTGTATTTGCTTCGGGGTTGAATAGTGGACCTAATAACTATTTGGTATTCAGCCGAATAATTGCGGTCCGGCTGAATACGAATAGTGGTTACCTTACACCCGTTTCTGCATACACTGCGTTGGAGGACTGAAATAACTCTTTCATTAACACAATAGTTGCTGTTGTCTAAGTCTGTCGTAGCGGGGGAAACTGCGACCCGGTTGCATGATACAGCAGCTGGCAAGGTCTTTGCCTGCTGACTCGACCGAGACATTACAGCAGAGGTTCTCTCAAACTGGTTGCGTATGCCATGAATGCCACGGCGAAAATCAAGAAAAGTCGGCTATAAATTGTGACAATATTAAAGAAGGCATGAAGATACTTGATAGGTTAAAATTTAAATTGTCTTTCCTCACCACTGTCGAAAAAAAGGACAGGCAAAAACTGTGTGTTTTTTTTATTTTAAATTACCTTGACTCCCATATCACCCACCGTAATCACTATTCGGTACAGCCCAAATAAAAATGCTGGATTTGTTACGATTATATTCGCAGCATATATTTAACAGAAAGTGACTAACTTTACAGCCTTAAAACACTAAATGAAAAGCAGATTAAGTTTTAATGATCACTAATTGAATAAAACAGTTCTATAGTAGTTTAGTTCAAATGAATAAAAAAATGCCTCTGAAGGTTAGTCAGTTTTGTACCCCAGAAATCAAAGGATCCAGATGATTGACAGCCAGAATTGTTAATGTTAACCTTCACATTAAAAAAAGGAGAGTTGTTTCAACATTTTTTTTATAGAGCATCGCATTGAAGTAAGAAGAGTGTCACAGGCAGGAGAGAACATCATCACTACTACCACTATCGACGCGACCATTTTTCTCATTGACTCCTCTGGTAGCAGAAGTTTAGCCTGGATGACATAAGTGTATAAAGAGAGGCAGAAGTGTATAAAGAGAGGCAGAAGTGTATAAAGAGAGGCAGAAATGTATAACGAGAGGCAGAAGTGTATAAAGAGAGGCAGAAGAGAGAGGCAGAAGTGTATAAAGAGAGGCAGAAGTGTTTAAAGAGAGGCAGAAGTGTACAAAGAAAGGCAGAAGTGTAAAAAGAGAGGCAGAAGTGTACAAAGAGAGGCAGAACATTTTCTCGTACTCAGTTTAGGATCTTCTTTATCTTCTTCTTTTTCTCCTTCTTCAGCATTCTGAGCCCTTGAGGTTCTTTGCTGAAGATATCACCCGCTTCCATTACCTCTCTGGTTGGCCTTCTCTTTCCAGTTTGTGCCACCAAGTGTTTGCAGGTCTGTCTGGATGTTTTCTCTCCATCGTCTTCTTGGTCTGCCTCGTGGCCTACTCCATTCAGCTCCCTTATGTATACAGTTTTTTTTACCTCTCAGTCATTTCATAACCTCTCAATGTGCCCCAACCATTTCAGTCTATTAGATCTCATGATGCCAGTGATCAATAGTGATTTACAGATAATGAGTTTCTTTGTTGCTTCTCACTTTCCATTACCCGCTGTTGGCATCTTTGATGGGTCAGTTTAGGATCCGAGGCCGTCAATACCAGCATCTACACAAACACACACACACACACACACACACACACAGAGGGAGGGAGAGAGAGAGGGAGAGAGAGATTGATTGATTGATTGATTTGTAAAATGGATTTGTACTCAAAATTCAAGTTCTGGAACAAGACTTAAGTCTAGAAGTTAACGAATAACCAGAATCTCCTGCTGGAGTTTACAGCCGGTTAACTCTAAGAAGAACAGGAAGACATGTTATCTCCCCTGAGCCTAAACTGTCAATGGCAGAGCTTGAGTATAAAAAAGCTTGAAGTATGTTTTTTTTTAATAGTTGTTTTTCTGTCCCCAGTTGGTGCTTGCACTTTACCCACAGACAACCTGTTTCTACAGAGCTTTGGTTGATGAACCTCCTAAAAAGGTGTGTATGTGACATGTAATCTCCCGCAGTTTTTTTATCTTCTTAGCGTTAACCAGCTGTAAACTCTAGCAGATATTATATTAAAGGGTCACAACATTAGGAATTATATTAAAGGGTCTCAACATTAGGAACTATATTAAAGGGTCACAACATTAGGAATTATATTAAAGGGTCACAACATTAGGAACTATATTAAAGGGTCACAACATTAGGAACTATATTAAAGGGTCACAACATTAGGAATTATATTAAAGGGTCACAACATTAGGAATTATATTAAAGGGTCACAACATTAGGAACTATATTAAAGGGTCACAACATTAGGAATTACATTAAAGGGTCACAACATTAGGAATTACATTAAAGGGTCACAACATTAGGAACTATATTAAAGGGTCACAACATTAGGAACTATATTAAAGGGTCACAACATTAGGAACTATATTAAAGGGTCACAACATTAGGAATTTTATTAAAGGGTCACAACATTAGGAATTATATTAAAGGGTCACAACATTAGGAATTATATTAAAGGGTCACAACATTAGGAATTATATTAAAGGGTCACAACATTAGGAACTATATTAAAGGGTCACAACATTAGGAATTATATTAAAGGGTCACAACATTAGGAATTATATTGAAGGGTCACAACATTAGGAACTATATTAAAGGGTCACAACATTAGGAACTATATTAAAGGGTCACAACATTAGGAACTATATTAAAGGGTCACAACATTAGGAATTATATTAAAGGGTCACAACATTAGGAATTATATTAAAGGGTCACAACATTAGGAATTATATTAAAGGGTCACAACATTAGGAATTATATTAAAGGGTCACAACATTAGGAATTATATTAAAGGGTCACAACATTAGGAATTATATTAAAGGGTCACAACATTGGGAACTATATTAAAGGGTCACAACATTAGGAATTATATTTAAGGGTCACAACATTGGGAACTATATTAAAGGGTCACAACATTAGGAATTATATTAAAGGGTCACAACATTAGGAATTATATTAAAGGGTCACAACATTAGGAACTATATTAAAGGGTCACAACATTAGGAATTATATTAAAGGGTCACAACATTAGGAACTATATTAAAGGGTCACAACATTAGGAACTATATTAAAGGGTCACAACATTAGGATGGTTGAGAGCTACTGGTCTGGGATATCACGGGATGAGTCACCATAGAAATACTTTCAGGCCAAAGAGAATGTTTTCCATTTAATTCTCTGCTCCAATTGTGCTTATTGATTACTCTCCTTCATATATTTCTAGGAAGTTGCCGTGGTGTTGGAGGCTAGACACCCCCCCCACCCCTGTGGGTTGTGGGTTCGCGTCCTGACGGAGCCGGACGTTTTTTTTTTCTTTTTAAAAAATTACCTCGACTCCCAGATCGATCCAGCCTTGAGTGGGCACCAGGTGCAGTCATAGAAAGTAAAGGCGGCTGGCGTGATGAGGACCACATCACCCACCAAGTGCCGATTGATCTATAAAAATATAGGTCTAGCCCTATATTCCCAATACAGCTAAAGACGTGGAAAAGGGACCTTTGCTTCATATATTTCTAAAATAAATTGATTAGGATATATGTATGTAAAATATAAAAAGAAATTATTGGTGGCTTGCGTAAAATGGTTCTTTACTTTAAGATTTTCTAAGCGATTCCTGGATTCTGGCCTTCTCCCCTCCCCTTCTCCCAGACACAAAGATTGGGGGGGGGGGGGGGGGGGGGGGGGGTTGAGGATTAAAGATATCAATAGTGGCTGATCCAGTGCTTGATGAGCGGCACTGGCTGTTGTCATTCCCTGTAAATAAAAATCTTGAATATTGTTAGTCCCTCTTCTTTTTTGTGATGCCCTCTTGCTCTTAGCCTCTGTTAGCAACTGATGTTGCTCCATTCTGATGAAATGCCCAGCAAATTGGATCTTCTGTTAGTGAATTAGATGCAAGATGTTGTTCTCACTGTTTGTCTGTCTGTCTGGTGGTATTATTTCTCACTGTGCCCTGAATGCTTAATAACCTCTGTGACCCATGATTGCTAAAATAATGGGTCATATGAAACTGTAGGAATTTCTGGAAAACCCCTGCTGGACATGGAAGACTTGGGCAATGTTTGCTAGTGAAAGAGGAATTGAAACATGTGATGCTTGACCTGAGTCTTTGGAATCATGATGCTACAGAGGTGCAGGGAATACAGATGGAGATTGGTGGCCTAAGCTGGAACATAATAAATAAGTATGCTGCCCTGGGTTCATTAGTCGCAAAGCAACAGTGGGACTGGCTGAAAGACTTAGAGGAGATCCCTGGCAACAGTGGGACTGGCTGAAAGACTTAGAGGAGATCCCTGGCAACAGTGGGACTGGCTGAAAGACCTAGAGGAGATCCCTGGCAACAGGTTCCTCATTTGTGGGGATTTCAATGCACGGAACAATGAATATCAGTACCCAAGCCAAAAATTCCCTTATGATTTCACAGAAAGGACATAAATATACAAAGCTGTTATATAGTAAAACATGTTGCAAGTGTAATTAAATGTTTTCACTTTCCATGTCAGCCACAAGACGACTACTCAGTTTTGTTTGAAGACACCTCCTACCCCACAGGCTACTCTCCTCCACTCATGGTTCCGCAAAGATATGTCATTGCTTGTAAAGAGGAGAAAAAGAAATAATTTGTGTCATTGCTTGTAAAGAGGAGAAAAAGAAATAATTTGTGTCATTGCTTGTAAAGAGGAGAAAAAGAAATAATTTGTGTCATTGCTTGTAAAGAGGAGAAAAAGAAATAATTTGTGTCATTGAATTTAAAGAGGAGAAAAAGAAATAATTTGTGAGTAGAGAATGGTAATGTGTTGGTATTTCAAGAAATAATTATGTGTAGAGAATTCTACTTTGTTGGTATTTCAACATATGATTTATGTATATAGAATTCACAGCCAGCTCCAGATATAAGGCCATACAGCTGAAATGGAAATTCCTGTTTTTGTGAGGCTGGTGTGGCCTGTCGGTGGTAACAGTTGTTATCGAGCATATTTAGACACAAATTGAACTACAGTTTAATTATTTCGCAACATGTGTTATTGAATGAATTATCATTTTGAAGATAAATATTTTCTAATATCCCATTTATTTATCTTCACAATAATAATTCATGCAATTAAACATGTTGTAAATTAATTAAACTTTAGTTCAATATGTGTATAAATCTACTCGATAACAGTTGTTACCTATGACCGGCCACACCAGCCTCACAAAAAAACAGGAATTCCTGTTTGAGCTGCTGTATGGCCTTATATCCGGAGCTGGCCATGATAGAATTGTACTGTGTTATTACTTCAAAAAATAATTTATGTGTGGAGAATTGTACTGTCTTATTATTTCGAAATAATAATTTATGTGTGGTGAATTGAACTGTGTTATTACTTTGAAAAAAATAATTTAAGTGTGGAGAATTGTACTGTGTTATTATTTCGAAAAAATAATTTATCTGTGGAGAACTGTACTGTGTTACTATTTCGAAAAAAATAATTTATCTGTAGAGAAATGTACTGTGTTATTATTTTGAAAAAATAATTTATCTGTAGAGAAATGTACTGTGTTGGTATTTCAGGAATTAATTTATTTGTGGAGCTCTGTGTTGCATTGTTATTTCAAGAAAAAATTTAAGTATAGAAAATTGTACTGAAATAATTTATATATAGATAATTGGGCTCTCCTTCAAACTTCGTCCCCATATTATGGCGGCCAAACAAATACCCTAACAGGGCCTCAGTCATATGCAAAATGTGGACTTCCTTCAACGAACACATCGCGGAAAAACTAGGATTACTGTCCGTTGACACTTTCGAGAAATGCAACAATACACACGATAATAGCGACATGGCGGGGAGACCACGCACTCCAACGCAGGTTAGTGATAGTGTTCATCTGATTAAACTCACCACCGAGCGTATCCCCTGCGCCGTGCGTAGTGGGGCAGATTGGGGGCTAAACTAGATGGCTGGGATTCACGCGTGTAGCGGCGCGGGGGATACTGTCGGCGGTGCTGAATAGTCACAGAAACAGGTCCGCAATTAACATATCGCTGAGACCCTGTTAGAGTATTTGTTTACCCTCGATAATATTGGCCCGTTATTCGGAAACGATCCTAGTTTTGCCGCGATTTGTTCCTCTGCAGGCACTCCGCATTTTACACAACAACTGAGGCCCATATTGGGTATTTGTTTGGCCGCCATAATATGGGGACAAAGTTCGAAGAAGAGCCGATAATTGTATTATGTTGGCATTCTTCTGTTTATCAGGGGAAAGTGTTGTACCATTTAGAATTGTAACAAAGGCAGATGTTAAATCTTGCTCTGAGGAAATCAATACTTGCTTCTTTATGAAAATAAGTCTTTTTGTGAAGCATTAATCAAATGAAACTGTGTTTACAGAAGGCAGGGGTGCTGTGGGGCAGGTGCTTAACCCTCGCCTGCACAGGGATGAGTGACTGAGTGTGACGTTCAACCCCCACCAGGACCACGGTGGCCAGCACAGGGATGAGTGACTGTGTGTGACATTCAACACCCACCTGGACCACTGTGTCCAGCACAGGGATGAGTGACTGAGTGTGACGTTCAACCCCCACCACTACCACGGTGGCCAGCACAGGGATGAGTGACTGAGTGTGACATTCAACCCCCACCAGGACCACGGTCGCCAGCACAGGGATGAGTGACTGAGTGTGACATTTAACCCCCACCAGGACCACGGTCGCCAGCACAGGGATGAGTGACTGAGTGTGACATTCAACCCCCACCAGGACCAAGGTCGCCAGCACAGGGATGAGTGACTGAGTGTGACGTTCAACCCCAACCAGGACCACGGTGGCCAGCACAGGGATGAGTGACTGAGTGTGACATTCAACCCCCACCAGGACCACGGTCGCCAGCACAGGGATGAGTGACTGAGTGTGACGTTCAACCCCAACCAGGACCACGGTGGCCAGCACAGGGATGAGTGACTGAGTGTGACATTCAACCCCCACCAGGACCATGGTGGCCAGCACAGGGATGAGTGACTGAGTGTGACATTCAGCCCCCACCTGGACCACGGTGGCCAGCACAGGGATGAGTGACTGAGTGTGACGTTCAACCCCCACCAGGACCACGGTGGCCAGCACAGGGATGAGTGACTGAGTGTGACGTTCAGCCCCCACCAGGACCATGGTGGCCAGCACAGGGATGAGTGACTGAGTGTGACATTCAGCCCCCACCTGGACCACGGTGGCCAGCACAGGGATGAGTGACTGAGTGTGACGTTCAACCCCCACCAGGACCACGGTGGCCAGCACAGGGATGAGTGACTGAGTGTGACATTCAACCCCCACCAGGACCACATGGGCCAGCACAGGGATGAGTGACTGAGTGTGACATTCAACCCCGACCAGGACCACATGGGCCAGCACAGGGATGAGTGACTGAGTGTGACGTTCAACCCCCACCAGGACCACGGTGGCCAGCACATGGATGAGTGACTAAGTGACATTCAACCCCCACCAGGACCACAGGGATGAGTGACTGAGTGTGACGTTCAACCTCAACCAGGACCACATGGGCCAGCACAGGGATGAGTGACTGAGTGTGACGTTCAACCACAACCAGGACCACGGTGGCCAGCACAGGGATGAGTGACTGAGTGTGACGTTCAGCCCCCACCTGGACCACGGTGGCTAGCACAGGGATGAGTGACTGAGTGTGACATTCAACCCCCACCAGGACCACGGTGGCCAGCACAGGGATGAGTGACTGAGTGTGACATTCAACCCCCACCAGGACCACGGTGGCCAGCACAGGGATGAGTGACTGAGTGTGACATTCAACACCCACCTGCACCACGGTGGCCAGCACAGGGATGAGTGACTATGTGTGACATTCAACCCCAACCAGGACAAGACAACAAGCAACAAACACCCGCTGAGACAAAGTGCCACCATTCAGATGAAAATCACCCGGGTACAAGTCCCCGAAACCCCATTCATCCGTTAAGATTATGTCAGGGCCCCTTGGAAAAAAACAAGTTGCGTCCCATGTTGGGGCGAAAGCACGCAGATGCGGCAGTGCTGAATCACATGTAATGGGACACCTCTTTTGACCTAATGTTCTTGTAGTCTTTTGAGCGCCGTCTCATGAATCATCTTCTCGTCCTGCCTCCTTAACAGCATTGAGAATGTCGGCCCGGTCCATTGCTTTGCTTGTACCTACCATAGCCCTGCCAGTTAGCCAATCCGCTCGTTCATTCCCTCTTACCCCAGAGTATCCTGGCACACAAATGTGCTATCAGTACTACACAGGAACCATGAGTAGATAAATGAAATAGAAAATAACCACCTACAGAATGCACGGTATAAAAAGGTCTCCAGCAACACAAGAATGGACAAGGTCCAAATACTAGCATTAGAGAGAAGGTTGGGTGCTTTATTAATATCCTACCCCAAACAGGGGAAATCCACAGGTCATGGGACAGTCTAATAATTCAGGGGGCGGTAGATAGGCTGCAAGTAGTCGTGGGACCTAGGCTGCACTCTGTCGTGGGACGTAGGTGGGTTGGGGTTAGGGCCAGTTCTAGACGTTTTGGGGTCGTTCAAAGCATCAGAAAGCCGGGAAACCCAGTCTTACCACCCTCTAAAATCTTAGACAGTCCTGTGACGTCATCTGTGGGTAGGATGTTAATAAAGAAATGTACTGAAACACATAAAATGAATTGTTAGTCGAGGTTCAATCAACACTATGGATAGGGGTCGCTCATAGCTGCGTCAGTGGAAATCGCGCAAAATGTCCTCCACTGTCCAATTTTAACACTAACGAAATACTTGTGAGCCCAAGCAACATTTTGAACTTGTACACGTAAAGTAAAAATACATAAGGCAGTTGTCAAATGTGCCAGCACTAACAGTCTGACACCAGAATTGCAGCTCAATGTTTAGTGCAAAAGGTCACGCACAAAGCAGAGAATTTCATGTGGTCATCCAGTAGGATAGTAACAGAGCCAGAGATTGGTCATGCAGAAGATAGACAACAGAACTATCAGAGGAACTGAAAAGTACTTTACATGAGGCGCACAGAAAGGCCTTTTCCAGAGATTCCCTCCTGCCCTGACGCCGTAAGGCTTTCCAGGAGTAGAGAAAAAAAAAGAAAGAGGATCTTGTAAGAATGTAGCCAGACTACACTGTATATTGGACCTTCTACAGCAGAAAACCCTAGCGGAAGGCAGGAGGGAGACGAAAAAGGAGTAGGATAGACGACATAGCTAGTCCTACAAACAAATGAACAGAACCGTCCCTCAAGCAACCCGAGAAAGTTAGTTGCGTATCCTTTACAGGACGTTGAAAAACCAACACCGGCATTTGTGTGTGTCTGTTGTGGTTTTTCTAGGTAAATTTTACGTTCAGTAGTTTGCCATTTCTGTCTGAAGAGTCAACTCTGGGTACCACTATTGAAACCAACGCAGCTGGGATTGAAGCCGGCACCCTGGCATCATGAAACGCCCAAGCCACAGACGCCGACCCACCCGAGAAACGCAAGACATTCAGAAAAAGACGATAAGTGTGCAACAACCTGTGTGACGACACAAGTGGACACCTGAAGTGGTTCGATACTGTGTCGATACAAACGTACAACTGCCTTGTGTTTGGCTG